CTGAATGCATTTGTAATATCATTTCTACATGTGAACAAACACAGGGCTGTTATGGATGACTTATAAGATTTCACTAGTGAATCTGTATATAAGCACATGTGAAATGTGGATGTGTTGATCTCCCTGAGACAGGTAACTACTGTGTCTTGCAGGTGTAATTGAAGTCATTTTTGGGATTTCCCAAATTTGTGATTTGCTTCTAGCAATCTTTGTGGATGCAAATATAACAAGCCAAAACGTCCAGCCTGCAACTTACATGTGCAAAGGTTCAGTTTCTAATGCAATAAAACTTTAAATTATAGGGAAATGTTGCTAATTATTAATGATAGCAATAGTGTTAGCTCCATTAATTTATTTTCAAAGGATGCAAAATTGTGCAGGCATTCTTTCTGATTGGGGGTGGGTGGGGGTAAGACAGAAAGGAACGGGCCAGGGTCTAAGGAGCCATGAAACTTTACATGAGCCCAGGGGAGCCTTAGACTTTAAGAAGCTGTCCAAGCAGCACTGGTCCCTGTTATGCTGCCTGCCAAAAGTCTATTTGAGGGATGTTATTAAATTCATGTACTCTGAACTATAATAGTTCTTTGTATTATAGCTGTGGCTCCTTATCTTAAAAAGCTGAAGCTTGTACCTTGGATGCCCAATATGGCATTCAACATAGATGCCCGACTTGTAGGAAACTGTAGGACAATTAAAAGAAGTGAATTTTACAAGAGGCCTTTTCCTGATGGAAATAAAGCCTCTAGAATTTATTTGTTTGTCTGGATTGATCCAACTGCTTAGACTGATCCATAGACTTCCTTTGACTCTATTTCATAAGAGATCTTTTTCTGGTGGGTCTGTGGGATAGAGATAAGAGCTTGCTATGAGGATTGTCTTGGTGAGCACATGCACTTAAAAATTTATCATTGCACTATTGTGTACATGCAAAATAGCTGTATGTGCATTTCTCACTCGTGCCTAATTGATATGTGTTCTTCACATTTCCCTCACCTGTATAGAAAACATCACCATGTGTGAAGAGCTCGTCAGGATGGGAGTAGTTTAGCCTTGAAAGGGAACAAATGGTCAAAAGAGAAACGAGGGCAATTTCTGAAGCAACTGAATTGTTGAGTCTGTTAGAGAGGTCATTATTTTTCTTTTGCCCCTTCCTGAAGTAGGGATTCTCAACATTGGTTGAAGGATCATGAGTCTGTTGCTTTGTGTATGATGTCTAAGATCTTGAAGGTAATTATGCCTTATATTCAAGGCAGCTTTGGGGACCATGATTAACTAATCTTTGGGAAAGTGTGGATGACAGTCCCTTTCAGTATATACTGGATCACACAGTTTCTCAAGATTAAGATGTGTGCAGTGACAAAATCTCTACAATTGCCACATTTGTTCTACGCTAAAATCATGACTTCCTGAGCACTTCCAATAAATTCTGGCTGACATTTTTATAGCAGTTTGGTCAGAACAGTGTCGCTAACATGCTGTTTTTTAAAATGTTGCAACTAGTGATGTCACTTTACATATTGACTATCCTGGCTGGATATGACGGGTATTGTGGATGTTTGTGAGGCTTTCCATATGCTTCAAATCCATTTGCTAGTTTTTGTTCATATGTCAGCTGTTGAGTGTAATAAAAATTACTCTCAGAGAAATGCCTGTTTCATGGATTTGCCTCACTAGCTGCAAATATGTCTCAGAAGCCACATTGTTTGTTTAAAGATTCATATCCCTGATCACTTTATTAATTAGAATGATGTCAGAGAGAACTTATCCAAGATGTATATGAAACTTATGCAGGCACTCCACGTCTATTGGAGCCATGAAGTCTGCTAATTGCAGCAATTGAGAATTACCTGTTGTGATTCATTGTTGTTGTATTATTAGGATCCTAGGGCTAGGTCAGCACCTGTGGATTTGTCTCAGAAGAACCACATCCTGTACCACAATAGAATATATGTGGTACAGGATGTAGTCTGGTAAAGGTAACTGCAGTGAGGACAAAAATTGTTCAGTTCAAATTTTAATATTAATTTTGAAATGTGATTTTAATTCATCACATTTTAGGGTGACATTTAACTCAAGTTTTTCAAGCCAGCACATGAAGAGAAGCACGGTTATAACTTGCTTGATATTTGCACTTTCCCTCATTTCACAATGGGATATTCCAAACAAAAGTGAATCTAAATGTGTATATTGGGGATATGGTTCACAGAACACCTGTATTACTGAAGGTAACATACAAACATGCATTTTTCAATGAGAAAATAAGTTTAAAATATAGTATGTTAGGTAATATTACATGCCAGGACATATGAATTTTCATGTAGGCGTTGGAAAACATCACAAATGTGGAAATCAGACTTTTAAAACTTTTGAAAGATAGTGTGAGTGAAAATGGAACTTAAAATAAAATTGTCTGTCCTTATTCAATTTATGCTTTCTCACCCTATGGAATGTGGGTGGATTTATACTTGAGCAGGTGCATGCCATAGTACAGATTTTATGAACATTCAGCAGGTGCACAGATTAACTAGGACAGCCTCTCCTAATGGGGTGCCCTCCAGATATTTTGAACTACATCTCTGATCAGCACCAGTGATGTTGCGACTACTCAGAGACTATGAGAGTTCAAATTTGTTCTTTCAGCCAGCATTTCACCTTTAAAAATGGCCTCAATAGCCTTTGCCACTTGGATACTCGTGTCGCAGGTTCCTCTGCCTTTAAAGTAGTAATGTTCTATAGCACTTCTAAAAGACAGCTGAATCTTATTCATCTTTTTTTCCCCCCCTTTTCAACTGTACTGATTATTTGTAGGCTCCCTTTTGGTAGCAGTGGTGGTGGTGGAATTACTATCTGTTTCTAACCTGGGAATCGGGAGTAATGTGGTGAAGAATGCCATTCAGTGTATCTGATATATTTTGCCTGAAGTGACAATACTAGCTGTCTGTGACCACATGAACAATATAGAATATTATTGTATTAGGAAGTGTGATATGTATTGCAGATAATGCTAGAGAAGGCTCTAGCTGCTGCAGTACAAATTATTCTTACTACAGTAAATTCACACCCTGCCTCTGACCCAAAAATATAGAGCAAAAATATCCAGACTGTGGTAGCAAGCAGAACTCAAGAGAGTTCCTTGTGAAGTTGAAAAGCTATACAGGAAAGAGATATCTGCTGAATTCAGGGGTGGGGGACTGTCCAAAAAGCAGAGGCTGTCCATTATGGAGGATAAACTGGCAAGTATTTTTAAACCATCATGTTGACCTAAGGCTGTGTTCTCTGTCGACGTCTATATATTCTAGCCACTATGTCATTAACCAAGAGTGAGGTTTACCTACACAGCAATCAGTGTGAGGTTTCTTACATGATATGTGTTATCCAGATATCTTCCATCAAGGAAGCAATTCTACTTCCCCAATATTTTCCCAGAATGCAATATGTTTTCACTGAGGAAATGTGAGCAGGGGTATGGCTATAAACTTCAGTGTGGACTGTCATCCCTATGACTATCAAGCACTGCAAGTGAACATAAATATGTAAAAAGAAACATGCTGGGTGCCTCCAAGTATCTATCTAGCCTAGCACTTTGTTCATAAGTTAAGTAGCTAACCACATTTCTGTGAGGAGACTACAACCAAGACACAAAATGAATGTCAGAGCAGCAGTATTTCCAGCAGCAGATAGCATTCAGAACCATATTGTCTCTAGATCTGGAGGTGATATACCGCCACCATAACTAGTAACCATCGATAGCCTTATGCTCTATGAATATGCCCCCCTTTAATCCCCCTTTGAAGTTATCCAAGCAGATGATCAATGGCTACATCTTGTGGTAGTGAGTTCATTTCTTTATTTTCAGTGGGTAAATGACACACAAGAAACCACACCTTAGGACTGGTAGTACGTATGTATATTAAGATTCAGGCCAGAGAAGTATTTGGGGGTATATTTCTCATCTTTTACTTAAAGGGAATGTTATGAGACCTTAATCATATTTATGAGTCTGAAAACATGGATCATGAGAGAGTCACCACTTCCTAATATTTGATTTCTCTGTTTTAATACTCATAGGGAATGATTATTGTGTGATTGTCTTTTTGTGTAAAGACTGTCACATTCAGTAGGTATACGAATATTTTATAATTAAGTCAATGTGGACAGGCTTTAAAAGAACCCACAGTCCTTTGCTTGAATAATCTTTGACTGTTTTACCTTCCAAGATTAGACTCAGATAAGGACAATAATTACTTCTACGGCAAACCTTTTCAGTTTCACCTACTTTCGACCCGCTTTGACAAATAAAAAAAGATTTATCCCTTTAATATAAAAGAATTCCTACTGGATACTGAAGTTCCTGAGATAGCTTTCAAAAAACAGACCGGATATTTGTGTCCTGGATAGGGCGGAGCTTCATCTCTTGATATGTCAATAAAGATGCAAAAGGAAGGGTGGGGAAGGATTAAGGATGTTGCAAATCTCCATCTAGTCTTCAGATTTTTCTTTACTGATAGTGAAACTGGTTTAGGGAAATTCAGGTTAAAGTGAATTGTGTGTCCAGTGAACTGAGAAAGATAGTGTAAACCAGCAGGAAGTGAGTATAAATTTAGTTACACTGTGCACTATCCGTCTACTCCTGAAAATCTCCATTGTGAAAACCATTGATTTGATCCAGCAAAGGACAGCCACTTATGATAGTCTTCCTTGTTTATAATCTATGAGGGTATCAATACACATCTGAATGTACCTCTCCACCTGAACTGCAAAGCATATGCTTCCCAGTGAATTGTGGTATCTTTCTTTTTAGTGGGCATGGGCAAAATTTGGGAAAGTTGCCCTTCTGGACTACAAGTGCCAGAACTCTCCAGCCAGCATAGTTGATAGATCATGTTTGCTCTGGGTATGGTCAAACTGAGGCAAAGAGTGGCCACGACTGACTAATAACTTGCATCTACAGCTGGATCACAGCTTTTTCAGATCCAGTGCCTTTGATCTTTCTCATCCAGGCACAATGTTCCGTAAGAAGAAGAAGAAACGCCCTGAGATCTCTGCCCCACAGAACTTTGAGCATCGAGTACACACTTCGTTTGACCCAAAGGAGGGGAAATTTATTGGCCTGCCTCCACAATGGCAAAATATTTTGGACACTCTGAAACGGCCCAAACCTGTTGTAGACCCTTCAAGGATTACCAGGGTGCAACTCCAGCCTATGAAGGTAAGAAGGAGATATCCCTAAATTCTCCCTAGTCAACTGGCACTTGAAGGAAGCAAACCTTCCTATTTACCTTCTAGTCTGACAACATTCTGTTCATTGTGAATATGGGTAAGGTGGAAATGAGGCATTCTTAAAAGCTAATAAATGGATTATGGCATCAGCATTTTGTAGACTAGAGTCCATTTCATTAGATGAAAAAGATGTAATTTACTTTCCTTATTGATTTTACTCCATGATCTCCAGGAGTAGATTTCAATTACAAGAGAAAAAAAGGGAAATCAAGAAACAGTTCTCAGGAAATGGTGGCATTTTGTGGTGCAGAATTTTTCCCCTTTACATTACAGCTGGAAAAAAGAACAGGGAGTACAAGTATTATGTTGCTGCAGTCCGAGGAAGCCATTTGGGTGCTTCCAGATGGCTTCTTCCTCCAGTAACACTGCTACTGAACAGGAAACAGAGGGGTGATCGAAATCATGGAAATGGTGTTCTCTAGCTTGGGAGCTTGACACCACAACTGACGCTCCTATACTGTACTTTCTTTTTCTTTCTGGTTTCTTTCTGTATAAGAGCATTTTCTGCTGCTCTTCTTGTTTTACCCCTCCATGCCACATGGAGTAAGCAGCAGAAAAAATGTCCATAAGAAAATGTCATTAAATGACACATATCCACAAAGTGTGTGTGTGGATCTGTACACAGCAATGCAGTGCTAGAGTTTATGTGAGCATATTATGAACTGGAGCAGATTGGAGCCCAGCAGAACAAAAACACATCACTGGCTTGCAGCACTGTTAAAAAATGCCAGAAAATAATTCTTTTTGTTCTGCTTTGACTCCATCAACTCTGCATTGTATCAACACTGGTATGCAGTACTGGCATCAAGGGGAGAAAGCAAAAACTCCAAAAATCTGGCCAGTTTTAGTGACTATTGTTGACCTATAACAGGAGGCAAACAGGAAGCATGTAGGTGAGACAGACCTGATAGGTCTGTAAATTATTTTCTTTTTGCGCAAATCTTTATTTTTCCTACTGGACTATCTGCACGATTGAGAGAGAGCCTATGAACAACTAAAAGCTTTTTCAGTCAATCTTGGCTTCCAGGCTGAAGTTTTATTAATGATTCAAGGTAAATCATTATGATTCAACATACATCATTAATAAAACCTTGGTTTAGAAGCTTTGGACTGACAGAATATGCTTTTCTTGCCCAAAGGCTTTGTCTCACCTATGGGCTTGCCAGAACCAGCATAATAAAGTGAGAAAAATTAGGAATTTCATAAAAAGAAAATAAACAGCAATTTCTGGTTAATACATGGATGTAGTTCCCAATTAAGGTCAGCACCTGCATACAACACAAAATGCTGGTACATACAGACATGCCCACGGTTCCTATGGAAACTGAAGAGAGCAAGCAGTGATCCTCAAGGTTAAGAGACAGAAAGGCCTGATCAAATTTTTCCCTTTAATTGTTCCAGGGTTATCACTTACACCACCCAGGCAGATCATATCTGAAAATGGGGTTCCTATTACCTCAGTGGGTAGGGGGGCATAACTAGAAATGATACTAGGCTGCTTGCAGATATAATTAATGGAAAGATTTGTTTAAATCACAGTAGATAAATGGAATAAGATTCATGGAATGAAGACACAATATAAAAGAAATCAAAAGAAAATCAATGAATTTCTAACAATACAATGATGAAATGAAAAGCATAGAGCAATCAGTATTAAAATATCAGATGAAATTACAATTATGAAAAATCAGCCAGTTAGCCTTCTATGAAGCACTATATTTGCCCCTGATTTTCCACCAGCTCCCTAGTTGAAGCTCACTATGTTACAGCTGTTTGACCTAAAGATTGAGAAAGAAAAACATACTGTATAGCTACCTATTACAAGGAACAGGTTCCTGAAGATTGTAAAAACTGATGCTTCTCCCAATATTAAGGCAAGCTAAGGCCTTAGAACAGCTAAAATCTGCAAGAATAAAAATTGTGTGAGGAAAAGTGACCTGAGAAACATCTGCATGTGAGTGAATGTGAGTTTGAATTAACGTGACTCTGAGTCTCAAGCAACAATTGTTTCTTACTTCACTGATACCCCTAATTTTCCAGCATTCTGGATGGCTTCTTTTTACCCCTAAAATTCAGTTTTGTGTTAGTAGATAGCAAGCTGAGAGTAAAAGTGCATTACAGCACTTTTCTTTATTCCCAGAAAGTAAATCATCCTTTTGTCTTATAGCACATGATGTGACCATAACGTCTTATCAGTGTACACTCTAAGCCTGGCATTCGACCTTGTAGCCTGTCTATGGAACAGTATGCTATTCCATTATCTTCCAGCTCATCCAGAGCCTTGTTGCTACAGCAATCATGTATCTGTCTTTATTTGCTCATTCCATCATGCAAAGTCCAGGCTGGAACAAATTCTCAGCCCTTTTTGCCAAAAGGAAACAATCAGTTGTGCTGTGTATGAAACAAACCAAAGATTTATAGGCAGGCCATTCCACATGTCAGTAATCCAGTCCATAGGCCATATATCTGCAGGCCAGGTCAGTGTGTATATCCATAGGCCTTTTGTCTAGTGTACCTTTGTACCATAAATGTAGGACCTGATTAACAAGATCCCGAGATCAATCTAATATATATGCAGGATGACAGTGTTTGATGTCTTTCTGAGGCTACGGAAGTAGTTTCAGAGTGTGCAAGCTTGAGGGGATTCCCCTCATTCCTTTTTGCTAGATGATTATTGTGTGTATTAAAGTTGCTACCAAGAGTAGCAACTTCAGCAGGTTCAGGTACATAACCTCTCCCCCGTGAGAAGCTGTGTTGCCAAATTTGACCACCAAAATTTCATGATATAACAGCAGCAAAAGCATGCATTTCCTGGTTAAAACAAGGTGTGTGGGGAGCACCAAGCTTATTGTAAAGGATAATCACACTTCCGGGTGGATTTTGTGGGTGTGATTCACTGTTCAAACATGGGGCAGAAATTCAGCTTTGGTGCTGCTATTGTGTCACGAAATCTTACTTTCTGTCTCATATCTTAACAGTGAATCACACCCACAAAAGTATTTTGAAATACGGTGTGAAGGGAATGGTAAACTACTTCTGTGTATTCTGTATTTAGAAAAGAGTTGTCGTAAGTAAGAATTGACTTGATGGCTCATCCTCATCCTCGTTGTTGTTGTGCCACCAGATTTGGGAATGATGGTGATGAGGGGGCACAGGGTCATATTTAGCCAGAAGGCTGTGGGTTGCACACTTTGATTTTGACAATGATCAAAACTACATACCTTGACCATTTTTGTTGTTACAGAAGGAGTCTGATAGACATAAAAAAATTGCAAGAAAGAGTGTTGCCATTTTGCTTTTGTCACAACGTCCATTTAAATATTAGACAGTGATACATTACCCACTTTAAATGCGGTTTAATGGGTTCAGTGCCACATTATGAACTCATGTACAGTATAATTATAATTTAGGTGCTATCAAGTCAATTCCAACTTATGATGACTCTTTCCTGGTTTTCTAGGTATAGAATACTCAGAAGTGGTTTACCATTCCCTTCTTCTAGGGGTGCTCTGGAACCATGTAACGTGCCCAAGACCCACACAGCCTGCTTTTTCTTCCACAACACACAGTAGGGAATTGAATTTCTGATCTAGTATTTCAGCTCACTGAGCCTAGCTAGCTAGCTAGGCTAGCCAAATAAATGGATCCTATGTGCTTGTACCAATTTCCAGTACACACCTAGAAGCATTTTGGGGTACACTGGCAAAAATTACATTCCAGTGATCCAAGTGGAATGTTCACTCAAAGTTTGCAGTATTGAACAATGTTTTACAGAGTTTAAATTTCAGTAGGATCTGTAATGCTACTCATCAAATGACCGAGCAAAGGCTTCTTGTCATGTTAACATGCATGTGTGACACTACCCTGGCAGCAGCTTATCAAAAATTAGTTTCAGTGAGTTGCATCCTTAAAGTGTCTGCTGATGTAGCTAATTTAGCATGTCTTTCGGGAAGGTATGGAGTTGCCAGCATTCTCCCTTGCCAGGGGAATATCTTTTTCCATTCTGATTGGGAATGGAGCTGGGGGAAGTCACGGGTATTGTACTGTGCCTCCATGTGGATAAATAGATAATGTTACTTAATGGATTCTTCCGTTTCTAATTTTCTATTACATTGTTATTGTTTTGACTTATATACCACCTCACAGAGCTTGAGCACCCTTTGGGCAGTTTATGACATAAATTGTGCTGGGAACATTTTGCCCCCCCCCCCCCGGGAGCTGGGTACTTATTTTTCCAACCTTGGAAGGTTGAGTCAACCTTGAGCCAGCTACCTGAACCTGTCGGGATCAAACTCAGGTTGTGAGCAGAGACTTGGCTGCAGTTTAGCCACTGAGCCACAGGGCTTAAAACAGAATGTACATTATTTTCCCATGTCCCAAATATGATCTACCCCAGAATGGGGCCAGTTCCCTGCTCTTTCTGATGAGCTCACATTATATCATAAAGCTATCATTTTTACAGAATTAGTATTTCAGATTATTTCCACATCAGCAGTTCATTATATCAGTCAAGTAAGGAGTACCAATCAGCTTGAAGAAGATGGTGGACTACATCAAATAGCCATATGAACATGTAAGCAGATTTTACCACACTTAAGAATAACTGTTTTCAGACAATATCGAATCTTTTGCAGTTCAACTAAGACAGATTTCCCCAACCTGGTGCCCTCCAGGTATTTGAAACTACAATTCCCATCAGCTCAGTCAGCAGGCCACTGGCAGTGCTGGCTGCAAATTGTGGAAGTAGTAGCAGAACACATGTGGAGGGTGCCAGGTCGAGGGAGGATAAGTTAAACATTGCAAATTACATGTAAAGTAAAATGTCGTTCTTCTCTTAAATCTGTAATCACAGTGAGATGCAGGAATAAATACTCAGTATTTCACTATTGTGCATATATGTGACATTTTACTTTAAATGTAATTTGCAATGCTTAACTTATCCTTCTTCAGTCTGGCACCCTCTACATTTTGGACTGTAAATAATTCTCAGCCAGTATAGCCAGTGACCTGCTACCTGGGCTAAGGGGAGTGGCAATCTCATATCTCCTGGTCTACCCAGAGAACTCCCCTCTTAACAAAGGTTTGAACGAAGGACTCTTAAACTCTAACTTGGCTTTTTAAATTTTTTTTTAAAATCCTTTAGACTGTTGTGAGAGCAAGCACATTTGAAGTAGAAGGCTATATCTCTGGGATACTCAATGATATCCAGAAGCTTTCCCTCATCAGTTCCAATACCCTGAGGGGGAAGAGCCCCACTAACCGGAGAAGAGCCCAGTCACTGGGACTTCTGGGTGAAGATGGACCCACTGACATGTACCTACAAAGCACTGAACCAGACTGGGCAGACCAATATGCAAACTACCTCAACTGCAATGGTGGAAACAAATCATCTCGAAGGCAAACCTTGTGGCCAGATTATAAACCCATGTTGGACAGCCAAGTTCATTCCAATGGTCTTGTGATGAAAGCTCAGTCCCTTGGCCCATCGGAATTCCAGGGCGGAAACAGCCGCTTCATCCCACTCTCTTCAGGTTTTCAGCACCAGCAATACATCCCGATTCCTGCAGTAGACAAAGAAAACGCTGGAAGAAGGAGCTCAGAAGAGCGCTACCTGCAACCTTGCCAAGGGGCCTTCACTAATTCAAGACCACCAGGAGAAGGCAGCCCTGGATCCAAGTCAAGGGAAAACAGCTTGAAGCGAAGACTGTTGAGAAGTATGTTCCCTGTATCCGGCACCTCAAACAAGACCGGAAATAACCAGCAGATAAAGGTATGTGCCTGAGAGCTAAATAGCTTGGTACCTTTCCAGCTTTACAGTTTGCTTCCAAATTCAGTAACAGTTCCAAAGGTAAATATGAAAGCGGCTTCTGACAGATTAAGACTAATATCAGGAGATTAAACTTGCATTATGAATATGAAGGAACTGTTTGCCTGTACAGGCCTTGGTGTTAGAACATGAACACAAATCATGTGTATATCATGGTAATATCCTTTGCTATGTCTATATTTCCTTTTGTTTCCTATAAGAAAAGTGTCAAGAGAGCCAAAGGAAACAAGCAAGCAAATAATCCATGTCTACCATCATAGTAATCATTGTCAACATCATTTGCCTTGTCTATATCAGTTTTTGATTCAAAATAGATGCTTCTAACCCTCATGATTCTGCAGAAATGCAAAGACAGGGTGATTTAAAGGCTCAGAGGGGGCTGGAACCCCAAGAGGGTTTTGCAGTACCTATTTTCTTTCTCTCTTCAGATTGTATAAGTATTTCACCTTTTCTCATGGGGACAAAAGTGTAATTGGAGAAGGGTTTTGATTTGGGAAAATAACAGGTGTGAAAAGGTTAAAGCAACTCAATGCCCACCCGCCCCGTTATTCTCTCATACAAACTCCCAGCCTCCTAAGGTTGCTGTTCATTAAGAAGACACAGGTAATAGTGTACTGATCCAGCTAGGCTCTCATGTGGTTCCCTGGCCTTCTGCCTTCTGGGTGCCTCCTACCGCATGTATATACTAGAACATAGGTTCCCTCTAAGTTTCTCCCCTGTGGCACAGCAGCCTTGCTCTGTTTGTACAGGGGTGGGTGGAGCTTCAGGGAACATTTTTCTCAACCTGTGGGTTGTGACCCCCAAGGGGATCACAAAGTGTTTTCTGGGGAGTCGCCATGAATTTTGGAAGAGACAGAAATGTAAACCTTGACTTCCACTCCTTCACCCTGGTTCTGTTCTGCATGTCCCCCTTTCCTCACTTGTATCCCAACCCACCCACCCCAGCCTTCTTGCCTCAGGTGTGTGCCATCACCACCACCTTAGGGAGAATGGCTGACGGGGAGCCACTGCATGAAGGGAGGATGAAAGAGTGACAGTTCCCTTCCTGAGGGAAAACTCACCCTCCCTCAGTAAAACCCAATTTTAACCCACCCTTTTTACCTCCACTTTCTGGAGACCATTAAAGGACTATTGGAGTGGGATAGTGGCTTCAATAAACCCTCAGCTGTGAATTTTGAAGGTGTGTTCTCTTTACCCCATTAAATGCTTTTTCATGTAAATGTGATGGTGGGGTCACAGGTTGCTTGGCACTGAGGCTTGAGAGAACATCCTGCATCCTTAACAAAGTAAATCCCATCCAGTACTAAATGAAGGTAAATCCCTTGTCCAGCATGCATCTGAAACTTATTCACATTCAGAAAAAAAGGGCCTTCCTATTAACTACAAACTCTAGTTACTGAAACTCAATGCCCGCCCGCCCCGTTATTCTCTCATACAAACTCCCAGCCTCCTAAGGTTGCTGTTCATTAAGAAGACACAGGTAATAGTGTACTGATCCAGCTAGGCTCTCATGTGGTTCCCTGGCCTTCTGCCTTCTGGGTGTCTCCTACCGCATGTATATACTAGAACATAGGTTCCCTCTAAGTTTCTCCCCTGTGGCAGAGCAGCCTTGCTCTGTTTGTACAGGGGTGGGTGGAGCTTCAGGGAACATTTTTCTCAACCTGTGGGTTGTGACCCCCAAGGGGATCACAAAGTGTTTTCTGGGGAGTCGCCATGAATTTTGGAAGAGACAGAAATGTAAACCTTGACTTCCACTCCTTCACCCTGGTTCTGTTCTGCATGTCCCCCTTTCCTCACTTGTATCCCAACCCACCCACCCCGCCTTCTTGCCTCAGGTGTGTGCCATCACCACCACCTTAGGGAGAATGGCTGACGGGGAGCCACTGCATGAAGGGAGGATGAAAGAGTGACAGTTCCCTTCCTGAGGGAAAACTCACCCTCCCTCAGTAAAACCCAATTTTAACCCACCCTTTTTACCTCCACTTTCTGGAGACCATTAAAGGACTATTGGAGTGGGATAGTGGCTTCAATAAACCCTCAGCTGTGAATTTTGAAGGTGTGTTCTCTTTACCCCATTAAATGCTTTTTCATGTAAATGTGATGGTGGGGTCACAGGTTACTTGGCACTGAGGCTTGAGAGAACATCCTGCATCCTTAACAAAGTAAATCCCATCCAGTACTAAATGAAGACAAATCCCTTGTCCAGCATGCATCTGAAACTTACTCACATTCAGAAAAAAAGGGCCTTCCTATTAACTACAAACTCTAGTTACTGAAATCTAATGTCTATATGTTCACATGGAGTATAACCACACATGCAGAGAAGCTTTTAGTTGATATTAGTGTGACAAGTGGCCTAACTACCAAGGGGACAAGCTACTGATAAGTTAGAAGAAAATGGTGTCACTAATATATACTCCAAATGAAGCTTGTGACTTCGCACTCACTGACGGCAATACTTAGTTAACCTGCAGGGCATGTAAAGCCATAGCCCCTAGTGAGAATATTCATATCGGTATCTTCTAATAGGTTTGAAACAGTTCTCCTACCCTTCCATGTCTCAATCTGATTCTTCTGCTTTCAGAGAGCCATTATCAAAGCTTGTTGGTTTATGCATTTAATTATTATTATATTGGTCGGATACCAAAAGATCTCCTGTATAGAGAATTAGTGCAGGGAAATTGCTCCAGAAGGAGACCACAGCTGCGATACAAGGATATCTGCAAGCGGGATCTGAAGGCCTTAGGAATGGACCTCAACAGATGGGAAACCTTGACATCTGAGCATTCAGCCTGGAGGCAGGCGGTGCATCATGGCCTCTCCCAGTTTGAAGAGACCCTTGTCCAGCAGGCTGAGGCAAAGAGGCAGTCCCAAAAGCAGCAAAGTGAGGGAGCTGGACAGGGGACAGATTGTATTTGTCTTCAGTGAGGAAGGGATTGTCACTCTCCAATTGGCCTTCTCAGCCACACTAGATGCTATTCCTCCATTCAGAGCACATTACCATAGTCTCTCGAGACTGAAGGATGCCTACAGACATTATTATATTGTAGTTTATATGCATTGGTTGTTTTAAGTGTCCAGAGAGTGTATATTGCACTACTGGGTGGTATATAAGCTAAATAAATAAAAGCACAAAGCAAGATTACTCCTAAGTGGTCCTACAGCATTCTTCCAGTATTAGTGGGTTGCTAAATGACTAACCAGGTTTGTTCTGGGCTGACTGAGACAGGAAAACCTATTTAGTGGATTGAGCCTGAGCTTACTGGAATGCATTCATAAAAGCATGGGGCAACATTTTGTTGGAACTGTGAAGAATACATTATGAGCAGTAAGCAACACAGGCTGTATCCCATGTCAATCTGACCTAAATTCCAGTGTTATCAATGGTGTCCTCTCCTGCCACCTGAAAATCTGCAAAGAACCACAGAATCTGCTGGTAGCTAAAGTAGCCGATACCATTAACACACCATTCAAAACAGAGTTTTCTAAAGAGGAAAGACTGTGTATTCTAACACAAGGTTGCCCCAATTAGCCTGCCTTTTTTTTGTAACTGGTCAGTGGGGAGATAGCACAACTTGGTACGTCTGAGTCCCAAATCTGCAACACAGAAACATTTGCATTGTTGAAAGGATAAAATTGTAAGCATGCCCTTCCACTGACTGGGTGAGAATAAAAGTGCCACCTGACCCTGCTGCCACACTCAGTGCCACGATGCCACACTCACGGGGAGGAGGAAGGGGAGGGGAGTGGTGGCAGTGGCAATGGCAGCACATTCACTGCCACCTCATGTGCCAGGCACATTTTGTTTGCTTCTCTTTCCCAAAATGTCTCAAGGACCCATGGAGCCTATCGTTATGCATATACATAGCCCATGAAATCAGCTGCACTATGCAGGTGGGATGGCAGTGGTGGAGAGGCAGAGGCAGTTCCATAGCCACCTCCAGCACATTGCCAGCTGTGGTGGCCACCTTCCCTGGCTAATGGCCAGGACAGCTCTGCTTATAGGAGAGAAAAAAATAACCATTTGTTATAATTTGTGATATGATCCTCCTTGTATATTCAGCATGAAAATAGAAACAAAATCAGAACAATAGGAATCAGAAATCAACTTGTCTTGAGAAGACAGAACTTGGGGAAGTTTCATTTTTTAGACTACAGGTCCCTGAATCCTGGCCGTTCTGGCTGGGGATTCTGGAAATTGTGTGTGTGTGTGGGGGGGGGAATCAGAGAGAACATTTCCAAGCTAAGCAAAGTTATGAGTGTTTATATTACTTGATGATTTGGCCTTTGTTTCTCTACAAACAACAATACCTTGAAGAAGAAACAGGAAAGGGAGGCAGTTTTGGAAGAGAAAATTGCAGAGCTATGAATAAAGAGGCCAGGGAACAAGTACAGTAACTGTATGGAACATCCATATTCAGTCTAACCATGTATGTGTTCGCTAGTTTTGAAAAGAAAGCTTGGCATATAGAAAACGTGTTGAATATAGTGTCATATTCACACAAACAGTCCTGTGTGAGCAGAAATATTTTATGAGGACTTTAAAAAAGATCCTTTCGGTTACATGACACAGGTTTGTAAAACAAAAGCTAGAGGATTGAAAATACCATTCTGCCTGGAACATGTTTGAACTAGAACAGGAGGGTGGAGCAGGCGGAAGATGCAGAAGTTAGTTCGAACAGGCAGCTACTTGTGACTCTTTGTACATGTATGTTCTATTCATAATGTCTTAAGCAAAATAAATTTACAGTACCCCACATGTGTGCAAAGAGGTCAATAAGGTAAAGAAATATGTTTATTCAAGATAATGTATTGTGCATAGCCAAGTGATAGGAGAACAGAAAACTTTCCCTTTCCTTTATCAGTTTTTCAAAACCACACCTTCTTATATGTACACTAAAGTCCAGTTGTTTAATAGGGACATGATGGCTTAAATCCAGTAG